CATCCATCCATCCATCCATCCATCCATCCATCCATCCATCCATCCATTATATTGACCCACTTCTTCCTTTTCGGGTCACAGGGGTCACTGGTGCCCATGTCCAGCTATCAATGTGCGAGGGGCGGCGGGACACCCTGGACAGGTCTCCAGTCCATCACAGGGACACATAGAGACAAACAACCATTCACTCTCTCGCTCACACCTAGGGACAATTTAGAGTTACCAATCAGCCGAACATGTATGTTTTGATCTGTAGGAGGAAACCAGAGTACCTGAAGTAAACCCGTGCATGCACGGAGAGAACATGCAAACTCCAACCAGAAAGGCCCCCGGTCGGGATTTGAACCAGGGCGACCTGCTTGCGGAGAGGTGGCAGCTCTACCACCAACTGTGCCACCGTGCTGCCCTTGGTTTAACCAGTTTATTTAAATTTAGAACCAGCAGTAGTAAGAAAGTTGAATCCATCCTAAATGATTTTCTTCACCCAACCCATAAAAGGTTTGTGAAACAACATAGTTCCTTTTGCTTAATTTTGAAAAAAAAAAAAAAAAAAAAAGTTTGGAAAATTGTTAAATGATTTTTTTCATTTTGATACAAAGCTGTTTATTTTGTTAAGGATATACAGTCAACCAACAACAACAAAAAATTAATCAAACACATTTATAACCTGTTTAAAAATTTAAACCTACATCACAGACACTTTATTGTGCACACCTTGCGAGTTCTGAGTTCGACCCCATTTTACCTTCAGAATTACTTTGATTTTTAATGTCATATATTCAACAAGTTATTGAAAACATTCATCAGAGAGTTGGTTCTTACTGACATGATACCATCACCCAGTGACTGCACATCTGTAAGCTGCACATCCATGATGGGAATCTCCCATTCCACCTCATCCCAAAGGTGAAGGATTGGATTAAGATGTGGTGACCATGGAGGCCACTGGAGGTCAGCGACATGAGACTCATCATAGCAGGAAATGTTTTTCCTGCCTTTTATTGGCTAATTTTAGTCGGTCTTTGTGAAGTGTAGCTTCAGTTTCCTGTTCTTAGCTAACAGGAGTGCCACCTGATGTGGTCTTCTGCTACTGGAACTCATCTACTTCAAGGTTGGACACGTATGTTCAGAGATGGTGTTCTGCAGACCTTGATAATTTAAGCTACTGTTGCCTTCCTACCATATAGTTTCTCGTTTTGGACCATTCTCTTTAAACCCTAGAGATGATTGTGAGTAAAAATCCCAGTAGATCAGCAGTTTCTGAGACGCCCAGACCAGCCTGTCTGGCACCAACAACCACGTCACATTCAAAGCCCCCTAAATCCCCTTCCCTCCTCATTCTGTTTGGTTTGAACTTCAGCAAGTGTTCACTTAAGTCTACATGCCTAAAGCTTTGAGTTGCAGCCATGTGACTGGCTGGTTAGCTATGTGTGTTAACAAGCAATTGAACAAATGTACTTAAACTGTGAGCATTTGTTTATTCCAGTCAATCAAATGTGTTTTTAGTGCATTATACAGTATTCCTCTAACACCAGCCTGTGGAAAACTGACCTCCTCCAGTCTGGAAGTTTGGCAGAGAGGGAACGAGGATCTGATGAAGGAAGAGAGGACTGCTGTTCATCTTGATGGAACCGGACAACAAACTGCTAAAGTAGTAGATGTACCTACGGGGGAGAAGGTGAGGAGACGACATGAGCGACAGGGTGGATGATAGAATCGTAGCAAGAAAAGAATATTTGACAGAAGATGAAAGAGTTGTATGAGTGACCTGTTCTGAGATGGCTGTAGAGAAGAAGAGACTTTGTCCTCACAAAACTTCCTCATGGCCACAGTGGTGAGCGCCTGGTCTGCTCTGTGGACACAAGAACAAATTTCTACAGAGGAGGTCCAGGCACGCCTGAAAGGTTTGCTATGAAATACAGTGAGCAGAGTTTTGATTTGTCTTCTTTGACAAAAGCTTTTATGCATCATCTGAACATTTTCCAACACACACTGGAATATTTCCTGTCTTCTATACTGTACGTATAAAGATGCACATTACCCAGCTGAGATCTTGCTGTAGTGCATGTATGCTGCCACGATCACCCCAGTTTTTCCTTTGTTTCCCTGTCGGAGCAAAAATGAGAAAACTTGTGAGCCACATTCTTTAAAAGTGAAGCATTTGTGCGTTTGTTCATGTTGCACCAACTTTGCAGTGAAGAACCACTACGTTGTTAGGGTCAGAGGTCAGCCAGGTCTCCATGGCTTTACAAACGGCACAAATCCTGTCCAAAGGAGGGGCGTGAAGATTGGGCCAGCCGTAGTCCTGCACCTAGACCACAGAGGAGGAGCTGTAATTACAGTTTGGCTCATTTTTAACAGAGTCAGCTCTTACCCACTGAATGTATGATATACCTTTGGGTTAAGTCTATTAATGTCATGTCTCTTCTCTGATAAATTCAGGAGCTGTGGAAAAGCCACAAGACGGCCGATGTTAAAGCAGAAGCTTACACTTTTTCAGCAAAACATTTGAAGAAAACAATCAAAGCAGCATTTTGCACATTTACAGTAATAATATTTCTCAGTATTTTTGTTTCTAGACGAACCAGAAACTTGTCTTGGTGCTTTGACTGGAGCATGGATGCGACTTCCTGCAGGTTCTGGCAGTACCGCTGCTCCTCCAGCTCTGGTGAGAAGAAGACGGAGATGATCCTCTCAGTGATGTAGGTGAGATCGAAGTCGTATTGGCACTCCATCACGTCCTCCATCACTTGTTCCACAGTTTTACACCTGGAGATCATGAAAAGACGCAAGAAACTCAATCTGACTCTTTAGTTTGCTGTATAAATTACCTTTTTTTTTGTTTATTTGCACATATTTGAGTTTTTGCAGTACCTTGGTAAAGAGCTTCTCTTCCTCTGTGATGCTGGTTTAGTGGAACCTTGCTGTGAAGCAAACAGAAACCAGAAACTTAGTGCTGCAAAGACATTCTACATCCCATTATGTGACATTTCTCTCAAACAAAAACATCCAAACCTACCAGGTCAGACACCAGGGTGCAGGTGGAAGACACCTGAGGGGAAAGAAGCATATGGTTTGAGTTTGCAGCCGCAGAATAAAACACTCGCTCCCCCAACACTGGACGTAAAGCAGCTCTTTTTTTATGTATGTGTTTGATTTAATGTGTTTGGTCCAACTCCAGCAGCACAGATGAAACAAGGGAGGGTTGTGTGATGAGAAAGAAGGAGACGCTGATGGAGAGAATAGTAAAATTCATTTTTACTCTCCTGTTGTCATCTGCAGCAGCTGGTGTCAGGAAGCAAATAGATTTTTTTTGTTACTTCCACATGAAATCTTATGCCAGACAATATCAACAAACACACAGCAAATCAGAAAAAAACACTGGCCTGTGAAAAGAAAAATGTAGAAACATGAAAACAATTATTTAGTTGCGCTTTAATCATGTTTTAACTACATTTAACTGTTATTATGCAGCAGCTGAATTTGAAAAGTTATAGGATCTGAAGAGTTCAGTAAAAGATGACTGATTAGTTTGTTTGGCCTCCAACAGATGGAGAGGATACAGGCAGACGGAGTTTACTGCAGAAAGACTCTACATGTGTTGAGCAGCACTTTTCTTCTGCCGATGGCTCTACAAAAACTTTACAAAACAACAAACGCACATATAAAAGATTCAGAACAAAGCCGAGGTCATCCAGATAAGGTGCAGCTATCACTTAACAAACTGGAGAAGCAGCATTTTCTGTGAAAAGACAGAGCGAAAGCTGAGTGCTGAACAAGTCTGCTGACATTTGATGAAGAAGCAGAAACTTAGTTGGTCGAGCAGCAAGTAAAATGTCTGACAACCTCTGTGGCTCTGAACCACTGCACCGACATGCTATGGGTTTTTTATGGAACGGGTGTCCACACTTCATTTTAAACCAGGGACATTTTTTAATGATCCCACTAATTTAGTTGCTAGATTTATCTTTCACATTTTCAGCGATGTGCTTTTATATTTATTAAAATTGATGCAAATTCTCTAATGCACATTGTCTTAAGGCTTTTGCACAAGAATAAATAGTCTCATAATGAAATAATATATTGATTTTTCATGATTTTCTCCACCAGATCGTCTGGTTTGTTGAGGTTCAGCTCTGTTACAGTCTGTACTTCTAAAACAAACTGGTCCGCTAATTCTTTAGCTACTTTAATATTAGCACAAAGCCGAAAAATGGAAGAAACTAATTTTCTTTTTCATTTTTAAGATGGTTTATCATTCATCTTTGTGTATATCATGAGAGATGTGATACCTGATCTGTTTTTGATCCAAGTCCAAAAACAATATTATAGGATTCAAAACTGAGGATCACACATGAGCCAACATAATAACTTTTTCATTTGTCACATCAGACAGCATCTGCTGGAAAGAAACAACAACATATTATACAGGTGGTTCAAAGATCTGAACAACACACACACACACACACACACACACACACACACACACACACACACACACACAGACACACACACACTATGAAAGACGGCACGTTGTGACAAGTTGCTAAAAGGCATAGAAAAATAGAAATGTGCTCATATGAATATAATCATGCAAGTCTCAAACAAAAACAAAATCAACATACTTAGCGTCACATTTTGGTAATGGTCAATTCTAATATAACTTCTGAATTAATTTATTCAAAAGTAAAATGTACTCCTGACCCAAATAATAACAGCGGTATAATGTAGATTCACCACCTATTACTTAACCAAATAAACATTTAACAAAGCAAATGCTCTACACAACTGTTATACTATTTTTACTATTTATGACTACTTGTAAAAATTATGGAAAAAATACTGTCAGCAGTCATTTCTAAATTTTAATCTGGAGATCTTCTACACCTCCAGATGCAGGAAGAGGGCCAGCTGCATCATGAAGGACCCCGCTCACCCAGCACACACACTTTTTGTCCCGCTCCCCTCAGGAAGGAGGTTGAGGAGCATGAAGTGTAGAACCACTAGACTGAGGAACAGCTTCTACCCTGAAGCTGAAAGACTTATAAATCTCTAATCAGGCTTATCATTGTGAACAAATAAATAAATAAATCACTGTAATGCCACTTTGTTGATATGTGCTGATCACACGTATTTTATGAAACCAAAAATGAAACAGAGATCAGACCATAGGGGAGAAAACAACAAGCTTTAATAACAAAAGTTAATGGAAGGAACAGTAATCCATCGAAAACACACACACACAGAGTCAAAGCAGAACCTAGAGGCAGGAACTGTAGAAATATACAGTAATGTAGAATTAAAGCAGAGGATGAAGACCAACAGGAAGCAATTTGCAACAGGATGTCAGAGGTTCTTGCACACAAACATACATGCTCACACGCACACGCACACACATTACACACTCAGAAGCTCTGCCAGCCTCGGGCTCCTCATTAATGCATGCTGGGGCCACAGGGAACGGGGCCATCTGGTTCAGTTTGTCTTGTTCATCAGCTAACATTTAGGAGGTGCCAGTGACAGCACTCCATCCCTCCCTGGGTGACGGGCTAACTGATGGTGCTGGGCCGGATCCTGCGTGTCCTGTTCAGTTTTTCTTGCTCGCCTCGTAGAACTTTTTTTTTTTTTACCAACTATTGACAACTGTTTGACAGAACTATCAGATATTCAGTCAGACGCAAAATGTTGAACTATTCCTTTGAGACGTAACCTTGAGAATCTGGGAAAATGTCAACAATGCCTTCCAATATGTTTTGACATTTAAAGCGGATTTGATCAATGGGACAACAATAAAAAATACTGTTAAATCAGCATTGATCGCTTGCAAACTTTAAACCTTTGGAGTATGCTGGCAAGTAATTGCCTCCGCAGCACAGCAGGGATCTGATTTTTGATACGATGTCTCGATTCATCGTTCCAGGGAAATGAAGTCGGATCTTTCAGAGGTGTGGGAAGCAGGAGGGACAGCAGGCGTGGGGATCCAGGAGGAGCTCATTTTTCTCTGAGCTGACATCACGATCTGAAGAGGGAGAAGTGAGTAAGTTGTGTCGTCTGAAAGTGGAAACAAGCTAAACGACCGCAGCTCATTCCACGTTCCACAGTCTCGCACAAAGCTCAAATAAATGATTTTTTTTTAAACACAGACTGTTTAGGTTTCACTGAGAGGGGAAAGTTTTTAGAAGTGACTCCTTTTGCTTTCATTTTTGTGCACCTTGGCAATGATCACCTCTGTTATTACATCTGCTTTGCTGCATCCAGAGCATCAGGCGGGACAACGCCATCCTCACCATAGATACAAGCACACTCTCCCCCCTGTACAAACAACATTTAACCACAAAGAGCAGCTTGATAAGCATCGCCACACACAGCCAGGGGACATCAGCTAACTGGCCCCGGGGAGCGAAGGAGGAGGAGGGAGCTCAAAGCAACAGCAAACTGTCGAGGGAGCAGAAAGATAGTCAGAGCTTTTAGAGGAGAGAGAAAAAGTCAGGATGACAGGAAGTGGAAAGAGGGAGGCAAACAGACAGTGAAGGAGAGTCCTGAACGGGAGAAAGATATCAACAGCTGAACATGCCTCCTGACCACTCTCACAGAGCAGAGAGCTTTAACACAGCTATTTTAATCGCGCTTCTTATTTTAGACTAAACAACATGATCTCAGAACACTTAAAGGCTCTTTTGTCTATTTTTACATCAGTCATCTATCACCTTCTTTGTTGCAAATGTGGGAATAATTTTCAGGAGACGGTGCAGTTGATTTGTCTCGATGGCTAATGGAAACGAACGCACTTGTTTATTTAGTTGGTCTTTCATCGCCTTTTTGACCAACAGTATGTGACGCCCAACAATTAAAAAATACTGCTTCTATTCATCACACAAAAGCACATTATTAAAGAGCTGCAACTATTTTACTGTTATAAGCCTGGCAAAAACGGACTGCAGCCTACTTATATAGACTTTCCATCTGATCGAGACACTTAAAGCACTTTACACTACAGTCTGTGCCTCATTTACCCATTCATTCATCACTCTACTAGATCTATACAAAGAATAATCAGAGCTTTATCACATTCATACATCGATGGGACACACATTGGAGGCAATGAGGGGTTCAGTGTCTTGCCCAGGGACATTTCGGTATGTGACTGCACTGCTGGTGGATTTGAACCCCCAACTCTTGCAGTGGAGGACGACTGCTCTAACCACTCAGCCACAGCCGCCCTATAAAACCAATAGAAACAATATGGTTCCTTCCAGGAATATTAAACAAAGCCTGGTGTACACCTTTTGTCAGGAAATTAAAAGCAGAGGGCCGATATAAACATTCAGGGCATGCGTCTGTGTTTGTACTTGCGCCACGGTGTGTTTGAATGTTGCTAAGGCAAAGAGAGCAGTAAAATTAAATTAACCGGGATAATTATCTGTGCACCGCTCATCATGCCTCTGATGGTTACAAATAGCAAGAGCAAACCGCCTCGGAAAAGACACTAATTTAATTTTCAAAGACGTTCATCTGACAGGGATTTATTAATTTTTTTTCTTTGCCTCTACAACATCCACTTCAGCCATCAACTTTGATGTTTCTACCGTCCCAGTGATGTGCGGCGACAGTTGCTGCTGCCACACGACAGCATGTTTACCTGCTCCCTGCGGTGACGCACGAAAGGCTGCAAAACAAGGCTCACGATTCCCAAGAAAAGGACGACAGAACTCACAGCGTTTAGACAAGAGCTTGTCTGATACCTGTCAGCTGCTTCATTCACACCAGCCTGAGGAGAAAAGTAACAACTTTATAAGAGTTTTGTTTTTCTGGTTGTTTTCTGTCCCTCCTAATGGGAACAAATGAAAACAGCATCCTGCTGCATGCTCAATAATTAGGTAGAAAAATCTAACAAAGGTCCTCGGGATGGGTTCAAAAACGAAAAGAAAATTGTTGAAACGTTTCGTCTTTTATCCAAAAAACTTTGTCAGTCTGAGGAGGTGCATTAAACTCAGTCTTATAAATAGTCTCTTGTCATAGTGGATCAACCAGTTTGCTGGTGACAGACAAAACTAGCTGTTCACATGATCAAGGAGGACCTATAAAATAAAGGAGGAACGTTATGTAGCCCATAAATGCATTACCCAAAGATCACAGTTGCCATATCAATCCATAAATCAACATGAACCATTAGAAGAGCAGCTGAGGTGAGAGGACAGTGTGATCATCCGTAATTCACCTTCATCATTAGGATTCTTCTGTCAGGGAGTGGGATAGACAACCGGCTGTCTTTCAGTGGGTCTAAAGTTCATGTGTTTTAAATAGAATTTAAAATAAAGGCACAGCTCCTTAGAAGATGCACATCACCTGCCAAAGCTTTATATGAAAATCATCTTATGAGACATTTTGAGCTGATTCGATCAAAACGGTGAATTCTCTTGAAACCTGTTTGTGCTCAAACATGTTAAAGTTGATCAGTCTCAGCTACCTCCACGTGATAACCAAGCTGTGGGGACTATTTTGAAACGTAACCAATCATGGAAGTACATTCAACCTTCTGAGAGTTTTATTTAAATATATCCACTGCTTCGGGAGATATTTTTCTAACACACAAGGTTGACTCCAGAAGTTAATGCCAACATTTTAAGCAAAGATCATGAGCAAAGCCTTTGATATATGTGTTGGTGATTACTATCAGCTACTACCACAGTAAACTTTAGCTCGTTTATCTGTGACACTGTCTGAGTGATAGAGATGTTTGTCTTTGTTAAAGAAGGTTGGCTGTGGCATCCATCTAAACTTTGATTTACCCCAGAGGTTAATCGGTCAAACGTGTCCAGTGGATCATAGCGCGCTAACAGAACGCACACACAAGCAAAAACATTTTACTCCTGCCTTTTGCCTTTCAGCGGCAAGTGATGATAAACAGTCATGAACAGCTAGAAAGGTAAAAGAAACGCAACAATCCACAAAAAATAAAAAAAAATCAAGAAACAGGACAAATTTAGGAAGATACAGTAAATATTCAAACACAGACACAAGCACTTAGAATACAAGCATAAGAAGTATGACATCTTTAAATACATGTACGGGTGTATGTACTACACAGTTATTAACAGTGCCTGTGGTTTGCTCAACTTCACTTCATAACAACTACCTCATTAAAAAGTAAATGTTATGACTGTAAATAATTCAAATCTGTGTATTTTTTTAGGTCACAGCAGGAGTTCCTGCTTCACTTTCTGCAGTTTCCATCTTCATCGCTGTTAACAAAATCCACGTCTGATCGAGGTAAGAGTCTTTAATAGGACAACGTCTAGCTACAACTGCATGCCGGAGAGCAAATATTGAAAATCTGCAAAGATGCAAAAACTATAAGAGGATAAAAATACATAAGGTATTTAAAAAAAATGTGTGCTCAGCGTGGAAAACTCAGCGCTGTGAACACAGTGCAGAGTGTTTTTACCTCTTTAAAAGGAGCTTCAGTCTTTCCCCTCTGCCTCCGAGCAGTCCTGCATGTGGAGTGTGGTGATACACACACACTCTGCTCACTCTCACTGCTTCACTTTTTTCCTTCTCCGTCATGTAAACACACACACACACAGTGTGCCAGCGAGCGTTAACCCCTCTCACTGTGTCTGTGTTGTACTCACAGACTCACTTCAGCAGGCGTGCAGCAGCTCTCTGCAGCCAGCTGATCCTTTAGTGATGATGATGTTTTAAAAAACACGGACGAGAGGATGCACAACGCATGGAGGCCTGATGCAACCACTAAACATTTCAAAAGGTAATTCAAGAGCTTTACCTGTGGCTATAAAACCACATCGTAAAATCTGACATTAAATGAAAAACAACAACAACCAACAAGATTTAAATGATAAAAGAAGCAAATGAAAACGTTTCTTGGGGGAACGCACGCCACGTTTCATGTCTGAGTACGTCTCGTGATGCAGTGAGACGTCACGCTCAGAGTGTGTGTTGTGACCGTCAGCTGTTGCCACATCAAATTTTAGCTCAATATTTGTGCAAACGGCTGCGTCTTTGCCACATTTGTGTCGGCTAGTGTTCATTAGCTGTGGCGGCCATCTTGAATTGCGTTGACTTCAATAGTTGTAGAAGTGCATTGTATGTTTACTTTCTGCAAGTTTAATTAAAACTTAAGTGGTTTTTAACATATTTTGCTAACACACTAACACACAACGGCAAAGCAATTATTGCCCACCTTTTGCCTGACACCGGGGACATAAAACAGGAAGTAATGTGCTATAGGATGAGACATACATGTCAGGGTTGGCGTGACACGAAGCAGACATCAGTCTGCCTTGACCTAATGTTCCTCTTTATTTATGAAACCCCCCCAAACGGGGGTCATTACATAGACACACAGCTGCCTCTCACTTATTTGTGTCCCCCTGTGATCACCCACTGACAGGCATCTACGGCACTCCTGTTATTTTCTATATTTACACTCTCAGACTCCTCCTCTCCACACTGATCATCGTCCTGTGTGACGGCGTCCCCTCGGTCCCATCCAGGGCACCCGCTCTGCTGCTGCCTCAGAGAAACCTTTTTGGATATTGCCGTAGTGACCAGAGGGATGAGTAGGATAAAAATAATCATCTCTCCTTTTTTTTTAACGTGCTGCAGAAGTACAACAGCTGGTGGTGCTCAGGGGGTGTACCATCACAGTCTGCATGTGATGGGGGCTCGTGCTTTGCATTGTTGTAGCGACCTGCAGCAGATACAAACGCCTAGTCCAGCATGAGGATAAATAAAGGTAAACTTCTGAGTATCCCCCAGCACCATGAAAAGTGGGTGACCATGCTGTTACCTATGGATGAGCTATGTTTTTGTTTTCTCTGTCTGTCTTTTAGCAACATACCTCATGGACCACAGGACATACAAAGTATTTTATTAAAGCTCACTGAAGGTAATCATTAGATCCAACAATGTTCAGTCAGGTCATCTGGACTGTTTTATTTTGTGGAGGAGAGGGTGTGCCCCAGAGACCGTCTTAGCACCAACATAACTGTTTTTTTTCTCCACTTCACTTTGGAGTAAGCTGTTGAGGTAATAGCAGTTTTGTTCGATGTTTCCTCAGACTGATGAAGCCTTCTGGATGGAGGGCAAAACATCACAGCACAAAATAAATAAATAAACTGTCCAGATGACCTGACTGTTGTTGGATTTTATACCTGGAATATTGAGCATGGACTTTGGTGTAATCATTAGATGTACCTCTATAAATGATTATCTGATTAAACATGGCTGCCAACGCTAATAAATTTTAGCCAACCATGTATAACTCAGTCAGTTGCGCAGACACTGAGCTAAAATGCTGTGTGGTAGTAGCTGAGAGTCATCCTCAACCCATATCCCAAATGCTGAACACACCTTTTAGACTTCAACAGCCCTGAAATGTGCATCAGCACAGCACATAAACGTGTTGCTCCTTTTGTATTTGTGTTTGGAGCAGCTGAACAGAGAGGTAGAGCGGCTCAGTTTAAAGCGGGGTCGTGACCTCGGTGCTGTGTGACACTGAGCTGCTGTCACACGAGCGTGGGGTCGGCCGCTGCCGATGTCTTGACAGAAGCTGCGAACAGAGAGGCCGCTTGTCTCACGTAGTGGAAACATGTCGTCTTTAACTGGAACAGTCTGCTCTTTGTCCGTAAAATACCCAGATTTTCTGCATATTTTCCACACAACCATGTTTACTCGACATCTGAGCACAAAAAAGCTGGATGTTTAAACAGTTCAGCTCATTTAGCTAATGTATTATAAACTGCAGCTCACATCAAGCTACTTGGATTAGTTTGAACACCTGAATGAAAAGGTTTAAGGTACTGCTGGAACTGCAGCTGCTGGTTTAATTGCTCATGTCTGTATGTGTTTGCAGGTCTGTTAGCACGACAGCTGATGAGCCACTGACCAGATTATAATGAAACGCCCCAAAAGTAACCATTAGATGTGCATCTATAATTCATTAACATTTGGAGGCAACCCAGTACAAGATGGCTGCCACCGCTAATTTACATTATCTAACATACAAATGACTGTAACAGTCAGTTTCACAGACACTGAGCTAAAGTGTGGTAGTAGCTGAGAGTCATTCCCAGCGCATGTTTGTGAATAACATAATTATAAGGTTTGACTAAAGCATCTACAAGTGGGACCCTGTGTACACAATTTTGTTCCACCTCATGTACCACATTTCTAGTTAACATTTTTCTTAGTTTATATCTTAGAGCTTACTGTTTTTCTTTTACATTTTATACTTTGTTGGATGTAACTGGGACCCTGTGTACACAATTTTGTTCCACCTCATGTACCACATGTGGTGCGAATGACAAATAAAGAACCTTGAACCTTGAAACTACAACTCGTCATTTCTCGTCATTAGAAACTATTCGTTTCAAACTGTGGTCCAAACGACAGCGGGCGATATGCATTCATTTAATTAGCTGAAGAGTTTAAAGGAGTTAAAAGTCTTATATTTCACAGCTTCGGCACAACCTTGTGTCATTTGTTTTGTGTAATTTCAGTAATAAAATAAAATCTATTCATTTTCTTGCTAATTCCAATATAAAGATGGTATAAAGTTTATTCATTTTAAAAACAAAACAATTCCATAAACTTAAAAAAAAATACAAGAGATTTAAAATGAAAGGCAGCAGAAAGAAGAAAAAATCTTATTATATCTGCCCCTTTTTTCAAACAATTATTTCAATCATAATAATCTTCAAGTAACAGAACAAAATGAATAACTCTTTCTAATTTTTCTAATTCTAATACAATGCACACTAAGCTACTTCATATATATTTTTTTAACAATCCAGCTTTGATCTTTTTCTTAAATGTGCACATTGACTTTTCACAATCCAACTCCTTGGATTGAGGTAGACCTTCCCTTCAGACTAGTTCTGAATTTTGGTTTGACAAATATCTCTATCCCCTTAAGATTATAACAACTTTGTCTTTTAATAAAATTTATTTGGATATTTAATGGTAATGTGTTATTTTGAGCCCTATACATAACTGATAAAATACTATAATCTACCAAATCATGGAACTTCAATAACTTCAGTTGATAAAATAATGTGCTTGATGGGTGACTGTAATGCTTTCTGGTGATAATTCTTACAGCTCTTTTCTGTAAAATAAAAATAGGTTTTGTAAATGTTTTACACGCTTTGCCCCAAACATCAATGCAATAGATTAAATGTGGAACAATGATTGTGTTATACAACATGTACAGAGCTTTATCATTTAATAATTCCCTGACTTTGTATAGTACTGCAATAGATTTAGATATTTTTGTTCTTACAGAATTTATGTGATTTTTCCATGTTAGCTGTTCATCAATGATTACACCCAAAAATTTCATCTCATTAACTCTACAAATCTCAACACCCTCAATTTTAAATGGATCGTCAACAGTTCTCTTTTTGTTACTAAATATCATGTATTTAGTTTTATCTAAGTTTAATGATAATTTATTAAGTTTAAACCAAGTTTGTATTTGATCAAATTCTGTCTTCATCAGTTCCAACATCCGTTTTACATCTTTACCCAAACAAAAAAAAGTGACATCATCTGCAAAAAGGACACATTTGAGGAGTCCTGATACATTCACTAAGTCATTCACATATAAAATAAATAACTTTGGTCCAAGTACAGAGCCTTGAGGAACTCCACAAGTGATATTGCAGAAGTCGGATCTTACACCATTTATTTGTACAAACTGTTTCCTATATTTCAAATAGCTAGCTACCCAGTGTAATGCTGGTCCTCTTATGCCATATTTATTTAATTTTTCAAGGAGAATAGTGTGGTCAATAGTATTGAATGCTTTTTTTAAATCAACAAAAATACTAACACAATACTGTTTTTGATCAACAGCAGTATGACTGTCTGTTATTGTCTGCTCCTACTCTGTTCTTTGTTTAAAACAGGTCTCTCTTGTAAATGAGTCCACGTGGCTCAATGAGACTAACCTGTACGAATAAATGTTGAATGAATAAGTAAGACTTGAGAAACATGCTTGTTTCTAGTGACGCCTCAATTCTAGTTCACCCAAGAAAACTGTGGTGGAACAAAGAGAAGATAGAGCAAATTAAAAGTTCATATTCCTCACACACTTTACAGCCACAACATAAAAAGGGAGGTAGTAAAAATACAAACAGAAGGTATTATTCTGCTGAAAACCGCTCCAGCACGTCTAATTGATCATAAGACGTATTTGAACAGTTTGGTCCCTGTGGTCTGGATTTAATACTGTTTTAAGAGTTTTAAGGCAGAACATTTTGTTTTTGCAGCTTTTAAAATAAATAAATCTTCCTGTTTTCAGTCCTGCTTTGTCTGCCCCTGGCTCCTCATAGGAGTTCTGAACTGGTTCAACTTTTAAGGTCCATTTTAGAAAACATATTAAGGAACACAGTCGTGAGGAATATACAGGTCCTTCTCAAAAAATTAGCATATTGTGATAAAGGTCATTATTTTCCATAATGTAATGATAAAAATG